CCTACCATTATCATTAGCCCCCTGGAACCAGGCTTTTTTAGTTAGGTGCTGTGGTTTTGGATCATCATTAATAAATCTAAAACAAGTATTGTGAAGTGCCACCCCCACCTCTAACTCATTCTATCTTTCCTGAATAGGGTATAACCAGTGAATATTAACATTCCAATAATGCAAATCTTTCACCAGGTTTTATTAATGCCATTTGTATGATTTTCTTTTTAACTGACAAAAGTTTCCAATTTCCCTTGATTGTGATCGAGGCTCCTAGCATTGATATGTAAGTGAATGAAAAACTCTTCACATTTTTGCCATATTGGCTCAATTTGTTTACAAGACACTGAGTTTGTATCACAATAGCTTTCTTAGCAAAATTTCCTGGCATATCCAGGAAATGCTGGCCTGGTTGTTCCAGGTACTTTTCAATTAAGAATATTAGCCACCTACAAGTGAAATGCAAGCCACCTTCTTTGGACAACCCCTCTTGCAATGAAATGTGGCCAGTGTTTCAGGGAGCAAGAGACTTCCTGCCGATTAACCTGGGAGCAGGAGGGAGCATGCGAAGTCTCTTCTCACCACCAGAGGTCTGGGTGCTTAGAGGGAACTGCCAGCTGTTCAGAACAGCTAGCAGTTCTCTCTGGAGGATTGGGGGCAAAGACTTCATGTGCTCTCACCACCCCCAGGCCAATCAGGATCTGTGGGCGGGGAAATAGAGAACCGTCCTGGCCCCACCCATTCCAATAAAGGCCCCGACCTTTCTGGACTGGCCTGGGGCCAGTTCAAAAATTTCTAAAGTGGCCCTCTGGCTAAAATTATTGCCCACCTCTGTGCTTAGCTCCACTCCCCAATGACAGGGAGGGATTACTCATTCACATATTAATCAAACCTATTAGTATGGTACTGTTTTTAATACGTTGAAAATGTCAGCATTCTTTAAAGACATATGAAACCAACAGGAAAATCTGAAAAATCAAAAATATGCTATCTTGCTCTTGTCAGTGAGAGTCCAATCACACAGAGTTCTGAGAGCTCTTGAGACTTAATAGAACGTCCTTAAGTCCCAGTGGAGTCAATGCAAAGTGGTGGCACTCAACACCTTTCAGTTTGGGTTCATCACCTGCTGGGATTGAAATGTTTGTCTTATGCTTTTACGTTTAGCTCCATGGATACCTTTGGAGCCGGGGGAGAAAGATTTCAATCCTGTTCCATATCAGATTCTGAAATCTGAAGGAGCCTGTTCAAAGTGTACATCCAAACCAGGAATGTTTTGAAGAGTAATTCTCTTACAAATTACTGACAAAGACTGGCTGCAAGGACTATCTAATGAGGCCCAATAAGCAAACCTTTCTTTCTGCGTGTTCCTCCTAGCCATTTGCCTGATCTACTAATGTGGGAGAGTTCAATGAGTGAGAGAGACTTGAGTATATCCTTTGTAGTATGTGTGCAGAAATCCCAAGGCAGGGGGAGCGTGGCGCGCTGGAGACTTATGACAGAAGATCTAAACAAAAGGATCCTTGGCATTCTTTCCTAATGAGCCACCTTTGTCAGACAGTCATGCAGTAGTAAGCAAGCCTCTACTATGTGTCAGAAATTCAATCCCTGCACTAGGTGTAGGAATTACCTAATCAGACCGGCATAGGGAAGAAACAGACTTTTGTAAATAGTATTTAAATGGGAATTGGGTGGAATTGGTGATACAGAGTAAGCAAAGCATTCTTCATATTACAAAAAAGTTTCTAAGATATTGATCTAAAAAGTATCTATTTCATAGGATAAAATACTAATTATTTTACAGCTACCTCAGGCACCAAAAACCATAAACAACAACTTAAGGATAATCAACATTTCCCTATATATGAATGGCAAATGTAGAACAAACATAGGTATAATATGGAATTTAGCAGTGTGTTTAGTGAGATAACAACCAGTTATTATTTAAATACTAAGAAAACTAACTATAAAAAAATCAATTTGTAAGTTTTCTGATGACTGAACTGACTTTAGTGGTAGTGACAGTCCTAAATACTTTATCATGGAATCTCCACCATGCTTCATTAAAACCCCGTTTAAATGTAACTACTGTTTCCATAGACAGGTGAGAGGACAAAAATAAAGCAAAAAGTGACATTTTAGCAAATGTATGCTTTATTGCCCATAAACCTGCAACAAAATTTCAAATGGCAAAAAGCAGAAGCATCTTAAGTAAGGTCTCTACAGATATACAAACAACAGAAAGGGAAGCTTAATACTTAGAAAGGACAGGATCGATTTAAATTTCAAACAAACTACAACACAAATAAAAACACTTTTTAGTAACTTCAAGGAATCAGCTTTTACCTGTCCTATTTCCTCAACATGAAATTACCATGGAATCACTAGCACTCCATAAATGATGCTGGATAACACTGATAATATCATTGTAATGTAATGCTAATCCCAACACTATTTAACAATTTAATTTGAAGAGAGTACAAATGAAAGTTTAGACAATGCAAAATATAAAATCCAAATTCTCCCATCGGATATTCACTTCATATTAGTATTTTTGTAAAACACATATAAGAAATGTAAATCAAGTGGTACTCAAAAATTACAAGGCACATTCATACTTCAGTGGAAAAACACTATGGAGGTCTGACTACAAGTCATTCCTAGTCCCACTGGCTAACTACAGAAGTGCCCTTTAAAGATACAAACAACTTTACCTACCAGCCTTTGTCATTCCCTTAAAAATCCATATCTCAACTAGTTCTCAGGGGGTCACTACAGGTTGAATGTCCAGCCTGGGTGGCCCTCCTGCCCTTAGGCTCCCAAGCTGACTGGACCAGGAGCATCCATTGTCCTTCAAAGGCAGAAGCACGCTCTATCAACAAATTAAACAGTTGATGCAAAAAATGCATCGACTATTCAGTCAGTTAATTACTCAATATTTAACATCCCTATTATGAAGATTATCAAAATTCAATCTAGTCTGCTTCCAAAATAGGAGATAAAAGTAGTTTCAGGTACCATGTTTGCCTCCACATCCTCTAGCTAGTTTTGTAGATTTTCTGGGTTTTTACTATATTTTTCCCTCCTGTGTGATGAACTAAAACCAACAGATAAAAACGATGCCAAAAGAAAACTGGAAAACAGAGGGAAAGGTGTTGTTTTTTAAATCACACAGCTCTTTCCATTTTAGTTCACCTTAGATGTTACTTGTAACAATAGTAACAACAATACATTTTGAAAGAAGTTTTTGTTCTTTAATTACTAAGCTCCCTTTAAATGGAGTCAAAAGGGTCAATTTCATAGCACTTATGCATGATGCTCTCATTGAAAAGAGTGGGAATTCAATGTACCAAGTGGCTACAGTACTGTGTTCAAAGTTCCAATGTTAATGTTATGATTTTAATTGGTGGGAGTTTTTGTTGGATCTCACTTTGGAAGCATACAGGGTATAATGGTATACTTGTTATTTTCCTCACCTTCAACAACTACAAATGAGTCTATAGCTAAAGCTACTCATTTTGTAAAAGCAACCTTCTTTGTTTGAGACTCAGGACATTCTTTGAACTAAGACTAGCCATATTATGTGACACAGTGTGTGACCAATTAATTTTTAAAAGGAGAAAGAGAATAGACATCTTGGTAGAGTCACAGGGAGAGCTGTACAATATATGAAGGAGCTTTACTTGTAAAGACAAACAGGTACACTTCCAAACTGTGTGAATAACCAGATTTCCTCACTCTCAGACTTGTTCCCTCAGCACTAACAAAATATGTGACCAACACTGGGGGAAAGATGTTAAAATCACTTTGCAAGCAATGTACATCTTCAATGTGCGCCATAAAATGCTGTCTCCTTTTAAGAGGGCAGGCTTCTAAAAGGGCCCTGATTGTTCTCCACTCTTCTGTATTCAGTGGAGTATGTGGGTGTGAGGTGACTCTCTGCAGGTCAGCAGCTTTTCAAGTAAAAAATGTGGGTCAGACAGGAGCCCTGTCTTTTACTACTGACACAGGGGTCGCCAGTTAAGCAGTGACGCTATGCAGTAAGTAATTCAGACAGTGGGGTTATTAGAGGGGCTGGTGTCACACTGCAAGATATATTGTTCAAATAAAGATATATTAAATCTAACACTTGACTCATCTGTCATTTCGAGCTGCAGTCCTTAAACACAAAGAGAAAATGGCTATTGCAGCCTCTCAAATACAAAGGCTATCAATTCTTCTATGTTACTGGATTAAACCAACATTTAAAAATCTAAGATTTTAATTTGAACTAAAGTACAAAAAGTATCCAGCGAACTAAAAGCACAAGCCAACATTTGCAACATATTAAAGTTCAAGAAAATAGATTTTGTAAAATATAACTGCTAATTTTATAGAGTATGCTGTTCAATTTAATTTGCATGCAAAAGCCAGGAGAATGTGATTAAAAATACCCATCTAGAGACAGAGATGAAAAACTTCAAACATTTTCTGATTCCTTTCTGTTCCACTCATTAATTTCAATACCTCACTACAACAAAGGAATAGATAACACTTGTCCTTGACATTAGCTTAAATTATCTTTGGTGTGCAATACAATACCTATTAAATAAAACTTATTTTAAATCAACTGCCACGGTTGATTCAAAAGGTAGAACACTATAAATAACATTCTGTCTAAGTATCCTTTGCTTTTATTATAACCTATTTAGCAATTTTTCTTTATTTAAAAAAAGTTCAGAAAAAAAGTTCTGAAAGGAAAAGCGGCTATACTGTGTGCACACACACACACACACACACACTCGCCAAATAACTCAGCAATTTGACAATGCCACGTGCTCAAACTATAAAGATGTTTATTTTCTGCCTTTTCAAACAAAAAACCCCTATCAACAACTAAAGTAAAGATTATATGTATGTCAGAAATAATTAAGACACAAAACAATAGCGAGAGGGTCATGATAATCCTATTGCTTTAAAGAGTACTTTAATAATAGGTTATATACTTGTACAATAAATTACAAAAACAATACCATTTGGACACAATGACATTTCCGTTCAAATGCTGGTTGGCACACTGCAGACCACTCTGGAGAGATACAGAGGAATAATTATTCCAGTAGCAGTTCCCAGAGCCATCATAGCTGACTCAGGCACAATTTTCCCAGGATCACATCCTAATAAGGGGCTGAAACACCCCTGAACACGATACTCCCATCTTCCTATCTCCCAAATATGGAAAGGGATATGGCCACTGCCTCACCACCTTGCCCTCTCTATCTATGGGATTTCTATGACTGACATTGCACTCTACATTTCTTGATCTCTGAATGGCCCATGCACTATTGTGCAAGGACTCTTTATACACCCACACAGTCTTAGCATGCATTGTATAGAATGATCTGCTCAGGAAGAGGTAGGAGGAGGTCTTATTGCATCAAGTGCACACTTTCAGAAAATGCTTAAGTGACCCAGAAGCTGATATCCCACTGACTGTCAATGTATCTTAGGCTTAGGTTATTTCTATATCGACAACATTATGCTTTAATATGGCTATGTGGACACACTACACACCCTGATGAAGGGAGTAGCAAACAGGGCTGGGAGTGTGGCTCCCAGTGCTGCAGCATATCTACGCTGGTGCTTAACAGGGATGAAACCTGTTGCACTTGGGAGTGTAGGTGTTAATACCTCTGAGAGAGGGAGTTTCAGTGCAGTGAACTGGTAGTGTAGACACAGACTACAGTGTAAAAATAAACAACCTCCACTTTTTGAAACAGGACACAGGTTCTTAAATCATTCAGGTATTTAGACACCTGAAGATGTAGATAAGCATCTAGTGGGATTTTCAGCTTCTAAGGACCCAAATCCCATTGTAAACAATAAAAAAATGGGTGCCTGGGAACTTTTTAAAATCCTAGGAGGTGCCTATCTGCTCCTTTATGTGCCTACACACCTTTAAAAATCTGTCCCTTAGACACCCAATATTATCAGGAAAGTACACACAGGAAAGAATTGGGAAAGACAAATAAAGAGCATAGGAAGTGGCTGATTGTTAATATGCCTGTATTTAAAAATAAATGAAAATGTTCATAAATTAATAAGCCAAAATAGCTTTCAGAATGGTTCAGTTGAAATATTTTGTTTTGGTCATTTTGATATTGATTCCAACATTTAAAAAAAAAAGGCAGATTGACTAAAATTTCTAAATGAAAAAGCCATTTGAATCAAAACAAAGCTTTTCATTTAAAAAATATTGAGATGGAACATGTCAGCTCCGTTATTTAAACCTTTATTTTTTTCATAAAAAAGTTTCTGAATCAGGAGATTCACTGAAACCAGCTCTCTCTCATGAACAGATTTGGTTTCAATCAATTGACAATTCCAACAAAAAATGTTTTGTCAGAAACTTCCCTATCACCTCTACTGCCCAGGGAATTCACTGGAAACTTGCCAGCAGCAGCTCTCTCAGAGATGCTTTGAATCAGTCTGATCCTTTGAATGTCCTGGTACAAGCTACTCATTGGACAAACTACTCTGAGTGCTACTTTGGCCCACTTAAGGCTCGCCTCACCCTGCAAGAAGAGCAGATGATACAAAAAGCTTGGACTGCTGGGACCCATTTCCAAGATAACAGCTTTCACAGTCTTTCGTTCAAGTGTCTATTTCACACTGAATTCAAATCTTGTTGGAGTTTTTTTTTTTTTTTAATTAAAAAGTCAGTCATGATTTTATCTCTCAGTGCCAAATGAATCATTACACTGCCAACACTTATCTTTATTAGGCAAAAATATTTTAAATGTAACTCCTTTTGTTGATAGGCAAAACAATATATTCAATAGTAAGTCTGCTTTTCATTAAATTTTGCATAAAAGTAGAGTGTGTGCGGAAGCTTAATAACTAAGGGTTACAGGCTTCTAAATCACGCAGATAATAGCAGTTTGAACCCTGTAAATATTTCTCTATTTCCATCAATATAAATTCTTCACTGGTATTCATGAAACTACATGGACTCTGGCTGGGTGGCTGATTTTAACTTTATAATTTCCATAATTTTTGTTGATGTTGTATATTCATTAATGTTTCTGTTAATGCTCTATCTGTATGATTATAGAGTAATCAACTATGGAATTATATTAATTGTACAGATGTACAGCTACTATGCCACAAGTCTGTATACAACTATACATGTACCTAGTCTACTGATATAGATTTAGTAAAGAGACAGTAAGATTGTATGCAGTCACACGTTTAAATCCCCAGGTTGATAAAGAATTGTTCAGACACAAATGGGAGAGGAAATCTTTTTCTAAGAGGACTGGTCATACTGTCAAGTTCAATTACTGCAGACACATGTCTAACTTGGTCTTCCCTCCCCCTCAGATTCTTGGTTCCAGTCAGATCTCCCACCATTAAGTTAACCCAAATTTTGTCTGGCTTAACCTGACCACTGAAAACACAACTAACTTTTCCCATGTGGCTGTTCTTACAAAAGTTACTTTAACATTTGTTTTTAAAATTACACATGGAAAATGGTTTGTCATCATCCATATTTAAATTAATATTCCTGTCTCTCAACCAGTTTGGGTGATGGCAATCCTATGAACAGGTTTGTGTTTCTGAAAAATTAATACTGCCCTGGGGATTTTTTTTTCGTTGTGAAAAACAGCAGTCTAGAGAAGCACTCATCCAATTTCCTATTCTGAAATCAGTGATCTCCTCTATTCTCTTATCTCTAATCTGCTACATCTTTTTTTCTCCCAATATCTTTCCCATTCATCTTCTTTTCTCTACTGCAACGATGGGCAACCTAAGCTCGTGAGTGAGCCGCATGAATGGTCCTGCTTCATCTCTGTTGGCTGCAAGACTATTGTAGCCAAGAAAGTCTCCTGGGATAGGATCATTTTACTCACTGCACTTGGCTACCTAGAATTTGCAAAGGTGTGCCAACTGAACTAAAGCAATGCTGGGATTGGATGCAGAGGGACACACGGCTCTCTCACAACATTGTGTGCCATCAGCATGCACCTCACTTTACATGCCCTTGCTTTAATTGCACGCCACTTTCGTAATTCAGGAAAAGAAAAAACTATGTGGATGAAAGCCAGCAAAATCTGGTAACCTTGTGCATGGGCAACAGTAAACAAAGTCTCTTGGGCCATGCATCAAACCTCAGTGGGTTGCATGTGGCACTTCCCATCCACACACACCACTGTCTCTCCCTAACACTCCTCCCCACTATTTTCTGCATGCGTTATAACTGGGAGGTGACTTATCAATGACTACAATGTTTTCCATGTGGCGGTTCAGACAAACACAGATAACATTGTCCAAAATCAGACCCAGGCAAGCCAGTGTACAAAAATTCACCTTCAGGTTTTTAGCTGGGAATGGGGGTTAAAGATGACACAATCCAGGGCTCCTCACTGGCATACAAGATGTAATGTTGAACTTTCCCTGCAGCCTTGTGATTGACTTTCTATAACAATTCATGTTTAAACTATTTGGGCCAGATTTTCAATGATGCCAAGTACTGACAACCCCCTTTGGCATGAACTGGAGTCCTGGGAACTCAGTGCCTCTGAAAATCAGGCCAATAAAGACTTCAAGGGTGAGCCTGAAAATTCCATTTAGATACAATTCAGTTCTCCATCTGTCAGAACTTCTGTATTAATACTGATGTGAATGCAGGATGTTTATGTTTAAAAATATCTCTCTCCTATCTTATTTGCCACTTATTACAATCCTGTTTTATGTTTTTAAAACTCTCCAGGGCTTTGCTCCAAGAATACCTCAATGACCTTGCCTTTTTTTCTTTCTACTCTTCTCCAACTGTCTCATTAAAAAGAAAAAATAAGCACTGTCCTCCTTCTGTACTTTCACTTAATCTCATTACCAATGGAGCAAGAATTGTCTTGTCTGCTGCTTCAGCCATCAACAACAGCCTTCCTGTCTCCTCGCCTTATCAATTCTTCATTTTTTTAATCTAATCTGAAAGCATATATCTGTTCTCCTTTGCATATACCTCTTAATTTCTATTGTCAGACTTCTTGTGTTTTCATTTTGCTCTTTAACTGTACCTATACTGTAGAGAAACCACCATGGGCTGCTGTGGAAATTATGATGTTGTCATAGGAGATTAGAATTTAAAATGGGGAATAAACAGCAGGAGCTGATAATACCTTGAAGATCCTGCTTTAATGAAAACATCCCCAGTAATTAAAAATAGAGGGAAAGACTTGAAATGAGGGAGGCAGAGTCATTTCTAAAGAAGATGCATTTCTAAGTTTTTATGAAAGGTCACTTAAATTACCTGCATCACCAGAGACCATTTGTTTATTAAAGTAGTTCTGCCCACCTACATGTAAAAAATACTTTGGAGCCACATCATGTACATAGTCAGAAACATATTATACATTCAATATTTGTTCAAATCCCTCGCCTTATATAACATTGCTCCTCAGTAATAATCCGTCTCTATTTGTTTTCTCCCGCATTATTTCTCTGGTTAATGTATTTATTAAATATCACCTATGCTAGTACATTAGAAGTCCTGTAAGAGTCAACTCTTAAAGAGCCATGAATATTATAGTGTACATCCAGCAAAGCAACATTCATACAGCCTTTGTTGTACTTTATGTTCTGCTTGTTCCATCAATCCATGTGGAAACAAATCTGGTCACCCCAAAAGGAATGTGGTCAAGGAGGAAATGAAGAAAAATCAACTCAAGTATAGATCAGCAACTAAAATCTTCCTGGTCAAAAGCACCATTTCCAATAAGCTAACAATCTACATTACTATTATGTGATAACGACATTACAGGGATAACAGTGCACTAAACTCAACAACTAATCAATAAGCAGGGACGATTCGGTTAACATTATTGACTACACACAACACTGCCCTCTGCCAAGTAAATTTCTGAGGCCGTGTGCAGGCAGGCTGGCTGAGTACCAACTTGTGCCAGGACCCAGCATCAACCCCCACGCTAGCTCTTAGTACTTGTAATGCAGAGCCACAGCATGGTAGTTGACACACACCATGGGAGTCAGGATTGGGTGCTAGCTGCGCTACCCCCTTATTGACT